TCAAAATTCGGCGCAAGTTCAACATAAACTACAACTATTTTATCAGAAGACTTAAAATTCGTTGCAGCAGAACGGCCGCGAACGATATTCGGCTTTAAAATGAACGTCATTTCGTTGATGAAGTCGTTCACGAATATTCGCCAAGTATCAGGAGGATGAAAGGAACATTAACCTGGCAATCGATCAACTTACATGGAAAATGATACGCTCAAACATGTACATATATACATAGCGAATGAATGGTAGCTTCGTGTATTTATACGTGCTTGTATACGCACGCGCACACACACGGGGACACGTGTAACCATAAATGTGTAATATATTCATATATTCAACCGTTCGCGATCGTCGCGAAATCGCACGGTTCTTCAAGTGGGCGATTTCGTTAGCAATCTACCGGAACGATAAATCGATACCAGCAACATAATATCTCGTATCGATTCATGCATCCACGGACGATGTAATAGTTGTACAGCGAATTCGCCTCTTTGTATCTTCGAGTGATCTGTCACGGACACTTTGTCAAACAGCGAAACGAATCTCCTGCGCGATGTGAAAACAGCTTCGTTCGTGCAAAAGAACACGCGGAAATATTTAACCGTCCATAAATTGGAACGGAATGAATTGATCGGTCGTTCTAACTTTTATACTATATTGCGTATCTTTTGTAACGCAGCTAGGTGTCATGGGAACGCTACTACGTTTATGTAACCAAGCTGTATTTGTGACTCGTCTGTTCATTATTTATCGTACTCGTATTAGGAGAGAAGACACAGATAGAGGAAATAAGTTGGAAAAAGCAGAACGATGAATCTTGTTGCAATACGAATATTTTCACTGCTGACACAAAATTTGTACACATTGTTCATAATGGGCAGGGTATATCTACGTCTAATCACTTCTTTCGTTCCTCAACTTCTGTACAATTTCTGGCCATGTCATACACAGAATGCTGAAACGAGTATTAGCTGTGATAAAGATGATGGGAGAAAATATTATATACATAATAATTAATACTACGCATTGATTATTCCCTTAGTAATAAAAGAAAAAGAGTAAAAGATTTCATTATCTCTCATTCGATGGCCAGTGGCTGTTCATTAAATCTCTGTATTTAGCCATCTTTCTCGTGATTCATTATCTTTGTAAATCCTTTCAACGAGGTCGATTCAACAGTTAGTTATTTATTACATTTTGTGAGAAAAGAAAAGAAAGAACCTGTTCACTTATTATATTATATTTTCATTGTAGATTAAATTTGTACATATGTAATGTCGAATAAACTCGTCCGTAAGAGCAACATCTAATTTGGCCAAATTTCTAATTAACCAATGTTTAATTTAATCCTCGGTTTCCCCATTTTGAAATTCCATTATAAATGTCCATTATAAATGCCATCTTTTCTTTGTAATTGAGCACGAAAGAAGCTCTTTGAAAATCCTCGTGATATTAATTTAATACACAGAAGATAGTTCGTCAATCAGGTGCGAATGAACATTACCTCTTCTGACGCGAACAACATTACCTCTCACCTTTGATTGCTCGAGAATTCTAATTACCGTGTTCGACTATCGACGACCGGCTGAGAGATATTAGCTTCTCGACGATCAGTCTAATTAGTTTTCCTCAAACGCGTGCTAATTTGCTGCGAAACACCGGCGCTCTCTCTCGTTCTCTGTTCACTTTTCGTTCGTTTCGCGTAATTTAGTCGTAGAGAATTTACGCGCGACGGTGGCACGCACACGGGCAAACGAAGCGTGAAGAACAAAACCTCTCTCCACCAGCGCGGACAAAATAATTTCTTCGCATTCCGCCATTCCCTTTTACGGCCTACGACGGTGTATCGGCTGTAAAATTCAACGGCGCGGTGGCACGCGGTGATAAATCGGGGATGAAACGATCGTGCCACCCTTTTCTCCTCGCCACTTATTTATTTTTGTTCTCAAACGGAACGATTCGCACCACGATTCGTTTCGTGGCCAGAGAATTAATATTAATCTAACTGCCTTTCCATTCCCACCGAACCGGGAAAGTCCACAAACTGTTCGAAACATTGATCTGAACTAT